GCTACGCGAATAGGCTCCTTCAGTGGTCGGTACGTGACAAAATCCTCCTTTTTCGGCGACATGTGCGAAGATGCACCGCTGTCAATCAGCCACCCTTCACCACCACCTTGGTGAACCATGAACAGCGTCTCGTCGCCGCCATTCTGGTGAGAACTTCTGTAGTCTGCCTCCTTGTGCCCACGCTTTCCACAAGCAAAGCACTTGCCACCAAATTTATTTATGGATGGGCTACCGAATTTCTTGGTAGCCCTCGGCTGCACCTTCGACTTTGTTCGTGAGTTAGGGCGGGCCTTGAATGCCGCCTCTTCCGACGCTTGAGTTGCTTGCTTGTCGTGCTCCTTAAGCAGCTTCTCCTTCACTTCGATGAGAGTTACGTCTCGGGTATTCTCGACAATCGACACTATGGTGCTGTACTCAGCAGGCAAGCTGCCGAGCAACACTACCAGTTGCCGTGCGCCATCTATTTCGTCGCCAACAGCCTCCAGCGCCGTTACCAACTCGTCGAATCGGTCAAGATGCCTGGCCATAGTTTGTCCTGGCTCCATTGCAAACTCGTGCAGTCTGCAGGTCATCGTCACGCGATTCTGCAGGGTAGAGCGGTTGTAGTACCCCTTCAGTGTGTCCCACGCTTGCTTCGCTGTAACAGCAGTGCGTATCTTGGTCTGGTTTTCCAGAGACACCCCCTGAGCGATGAGTGCCAGCGCCTTCTGGTCACTCAACCTCCACGCCTCAGTCATCTCGTGTTCTTGCTTCACGACGGTGAGATGGTCCCCGAGGCCCTTTCGTGCAAGTGTCATCCTCATATTAAACTCCCAATCGAAGTAATTGTCGGAACGGAGCAGGTGGTCGGGCTTCTTCATGGTACTCTTCGTCGAAGCGCCTTGGACTCGTAACCTGTTGAGCTGTTGGAAATTTGAAGAGTGAGATTAATCGTGCGCTAGCTACTTGTGGTTCTAGTTCGAGCTGATCTACATCTAGCCTGTAGCAAAAGGGTAAAGTCTTGGGCAGCACGCAGAAGAGTGCTGCATGCCACCAATCACGGAGTCACCTGAAGGAGCATGGTGCCACCGACCAATAGCCTTCTGTGTGTGCGTGTGCCTTGCCTGTACGTCGTAATCAACGGTAGATGACTACATGTTGACGTGCCTTTCAACAAAAAGAATTGCAGCCCAGAGCATCTGCCTGATATTCAATAGCATGTATTCTGCTTTGCAATTATTTTGCCGACATTTTTAGGCTCTAAAACTAGAAACCGTGATTGCAAATGCGTGCGAAAAAGAGTCATTTCCCTCAAATAAAGCTACATTCTTGTCGAATTCCCCCAGCATAGACTGTAATCTATGTGGCCACGAGGCTACATCATCAAACAGAGCCTTATGCTTGCGCTGGTAAATCTATTCCTATTTGATTGTACAGCTACGGGCGCAGTTGACGCAGCATCTGAAACTGTTGGCCGGGCCCCGGGGATCTCATAAATAACCGGTTCGAAACAGTACCCATTTTTATTTTGTCTGCTGATGTCCTAATAGAGCTCTAGAGGTACATCCACGATTATATTTGTAGAGCTGAGATGCTGCCGAACCGTCAGCATAGGGGCTTTTGAAATCCTCGGCAATGAATAGAGACTTCACAGCAATATCGGGTTTATTATTGTCCAATATGACAGCGACCGACTTCTAAATGCTCTTTCATGGGAGCTTCACAGCAATATCTGACATTTATATGTCCAATGCGGCAGCTAACGGCTTCTAGATGCTCTTTCATGGGAGCTTAACCCTTCCGTTACGAGAGCAACTCTTGAATGCACAGACTATTTTTCACATGCTTGATATCAAGCATGTAAAAAAAAGTAACAGCGTAAAATTTGTATAGGGAAAAAAAGATCGGTGTCGGTATATTTTTACAAGATCCTGCAAGCGTACGTATTATGAGCCCACATGCTTCGTATCGAGCATGGCGAGTAAATTCCGTAAAGCCCATACGCAACATCATGCATGTGCAAATGGCTCTTTTATTGGGAATGAATTGTTTTTGACGGAGTCACGAAAGCAAATTTGTGTATTGTATCTGTTTGCTAAAAGCAAGTCATTTGGGCTATTACCTACGCAGTTTCACTGTTTCCTACTCTTGGTGCTCTCTCTCTACCGCGTCGTCACCCCCAGTTTTCGTTGTCTCGTTCTGATCACTATCAGAATTTTCACCACCATCACTTCCCTCATTGCCGAGGCCTGCGGCCTCCTCCTCGTCCCCACCGCCCCCCTTCTTCTTTACGACCCTCTTGGCTTTCCGCCCGCTTTTTTTTTTGGGGGGGGGGGGCTCAGCTGGATACCGCGGCCGTGGCGCGGCCGTGGGCGCTCGCTTCCATTGCGCCAAAGTTTATGCCAAATGGAGAAGCAAGTATGGTTGTTATTGGGGTATTGTGCTTAGCGCACCTTGGCACACTAGTAGACACTGCATTATGCGTGTTAGATAGCAGTAGTATGAAACATAGAGCATAGCGAA